CATTTTCCACCATTTCTTTATAAACTGAAAAAGAGTTTTTGTTAAAAAAAGGTTTCTTTCCCTTCGAGTACATTCCCCTAGCCCCAACAGAAGAATCCCAAAACTCTGGTGAAACATTGTCTTTTTTGTAAGCTAGAAAAAGTATCAAACGATGGCCATATTCCATGATCGATACCGTTCTTCGCCCACTACCAAGTTTTATAGCCCATATGGGAAATCAAAGATTCGTAACAAGTGTACTGCTTTACAAAATAGAGCATTCAATACCTCTAGAACGACTCTCCGAAAGAACGTCTTGCAACCATTACAAGCTGCCACAGCGTAATGAATTCCTGACGCAGCATCTCCGCAAACTACGCAAGGATCTCCTAAATATCATAAAAATACAAAGTTGAAACGTCTTTTACATAGTACTGTAACCTGTGGCCAAAATGAAATGCCCAAGTCTGAGAAAAAAGTAAGCATGTTCTTGCTAAAAATGTACTGTGGGAGCTGTTTATGTGATTTGAATGAGAGAACATGCCTTCACTGAAATCTCGTCCACAACAATGGGGCTCTGTATCAATGGGACCCCTACTCCTCTCGAATCATACTCGGAAAATTATGGGGAGGGGTTGAGGGATAGCAGAGCTGTCCTATGTATTCTTCATCATAACTTACAAGAATATGTAAATGTAACAGGGAGGTTAATGAGTCATAAGTTATGGGTAACCGAATAAAACTACGATTTTCAACCTCAAGAGCCACTTTTTTTGGGGCTTTCTACCTGTGCCCGAATTGAAACCTCAATTAAGAGTGATCTTCAAACCTGGCGTAAATCGTTTCGATGTGTCATGTCGTGAATGAATGTTGTGGGTATTTCGAGAATCATTGGAATTCCTCGAGTTACACTGACTAGTGTCGTCGTCATCTCGCAGGTGCATAATCTGGAATTAATCCCTTTAAACTGGTTATTCGACATGAGTCAATGATCAAACAAACATCGAAAAGTCCCTGAGCGAAGTTCTGATCGAATATCTCAAAGTATAAATAGATTAATTTGCTCTTACTACAGTATTTCGGTAGGGACCAAACTTTTGTATTATGTTTTAAATTACTGTAATAGGAGAGATGATAGGAACCCATTGGTCATAGGATTTGCATTACTCGCACAAACGAGCCTCACATTCACCATAGACCTGATGATCATATAAAACTTATCGAGGATGACAAGTGGCGCACTATTACATCCCGATGGTCTTAGGACCGAATCCCGGCTTGAAACCCTCCTAGAAAAACCAAGCCGTTCATACTCTGGCGTCGATTAATTGGCATTCAGCGAACCTTCACCGCGAATTTGTATGGAATTCAAATACACGGCGCATCTCAAAAAGGCGATTGATTACGTTGAAGA